ACCTCTATACAACGAAAGGAGACTGCGACCACACAAAAGTCCACACCATCTTGGTCTTCATACCTTCGATTGAAAACAAGAGTTGGCTAAAATAAATCCGCCGTTGACTTTTGGTGAAGCCGACTTTCCTACAGACATGTAAATCAAGAGGTTCGTGAAGTACCAACTTTTCTTTATATACCCCTAAAGTTGTTTTGACCTGAGGCTATCAGGACAAACGAAACTTTGGTACTATAGGAGTTGTGCAATCATGCCTCTTTTGGGTCATTTTTGCACAACCTACATTGTTTCTCTTTTCCTGTGCTCCCTCCCCTCTTCGTTTGCCCACGGTCAGTTGAACGCTGTGGAGGGACAGCGCAACTACAGCAAATTTCAGGTAACTCGACTCGGCATGCTGTCAGAGCAACGCTTCCGGCTGCTCAACGAAGAGATGGCCAAATTACGAGAGTATTTAGCCGCCACAGAAAAGCAGCTCAACGACCTGAAGCGTACTTTGGATAAAGAGGTAATCTGATTATTCATTTTATTACCCGGTTTTTTTATGATTATGTTTAGCTATCGTAGGTCTGATGTTTATTTTCCTTTAAAAGACCTACACTCCAAAGTCGCAGAGCTTCGCTTGGACGGTTGAGTTTTACAAATTCATGCCACCTGTTCAGTTTGGTAGTGGAGAGAATTGTCTGTTAGCCAGGGTGATTAGGGAAAGAGAACCAAGCAAAGTTTGGGCTCTTCTGGTAGAGAAATGCTAAACCTTTTCTGAATTTATAGTCTCTATATCAACTTATGCCATTGTAATGGCTACAGATACATTTGAATAAGACATACCCTCAAGCCAAAAGGGTATGGGTTTGTGAGGTATTGTTCGATGTTCATTCTACATTCTCGGTCTCGCCCTCAAAGAAGACAGCATTTTTTCCCGAAATATGCTGACAAATATGTATGACATTTATTCACGACAATCATATGAGTTGACCTTACATTTCCAGTGAATTTCATACAGCCTTACTTCCTAACAGTTATTCTCATCCAGGCTCGAGTGAACTGTAATTTCAAACTCGCTCAAACTGGTCTCACCAGCAACCCCAGCGGGACTCGAACCAGGAAAGTACACCGTCTAATCTAGACGCGTCAACCTCTACACAAAACATTGCCACAATTGCCCTTGCGTCACATGGCAGATGTGATTTTCAAGTGAGGCCAGGCATTTTCCCATATCATATTATGTGATAGTTTCGGAAATACATTTATAACAAAAAGAACAATAAGTAATATGTCCGATTGCTATAGCAAATGCAACTTATTCGCATCGATGATCCCACCACAGAATGTAATATGATAAAATGCCTGAGCTTCTTTTGAAATTCACATCTTCACTGTAACCAAGGGGCACTCGTGGTGATGTGGCGTAGTGATTGCCTTGTCGAGATTATACGCTGCATTGTCATGGCTAGATTTCTGTTGTGAGTAATGACGAGACCAATTGAGGCGGGATCAAAACCGCAGTCTAGCCCTGCCTGTATGTTATGCGAAAATTGTTGGAAGCGAAAGGCTACTCATATGATTGTGGGAAAATGCAATTACCAGTTCCCTGACCACTTTAGGCAAACTAGAATGAATAGGCCAGTGTATAGCGAAACGAAAAATGCGTTGTGAAATGTCAGATGGAGCGATGAACTGGCAAAACATTGGGCAATAGATGGACAGACATGAACATTTGCATACTTACATACAGTAGGAGGATAAAACTATTTGCAATTAAATATTAAATACTTAATCAGACTAATTGGCACATACAGACGCACTTAATTCTGTTTTTCCTATCGCCTCGACTAGTTGTGATTATTGGCGTCTATTTCTGTGATCTTTTATAAAATGAGGGTCTACCTGAAGAGAAGATTGAAAAAATGGCCAAGCAGTTGTGGCTCTATTCTTCAATGCAAATGACTCAATTGTAAGAACAAGCTCAAACGAGACGAGAATAGCCCCAAGTTGGTGGCGTAGTTGGTGGCCATGATGTAGGCATTTGTAGGCATACGTTGGTGTGTCTTTCAGTTCGTTCGAAGAGGCGAGTGGACGACCAGTCAGTCTCATCGGAAGTTGAAAAGGGTTTGCCTTGCAGTTGTGCGAATTAGTTCTCGGCTCACCATCCCATCACTCGGTTGAATCCGTAATGAGCTTTCGGCCAACATGTGACGGACATTGTTAGAGCAGACCACCAGGTCTTACGACATGGCATCGAAACACGAAGACAAGACAGCTGCTGGCTGGTTGCAATGCTACCTACCTTTTCTCGCCTAACTCAGTCCACTTACTGAGACCTCTGATTATTTA